TCCAGTCTTGTCATGCAAATGTGGAATACGTAAATGCAGTAAATGTAACTAAGCTTGTCGAATGAGCGATAATGAATGGAAGGCGTGAATAAATAGAGGTAATGAACATAAATACTGCTGCCAGCAGGGATAATGAAAACACTCAGAATGTTTCACCCCTTTAACAAGTGGAACATTATACCAAGCCTTGTTGCCATGACAAATGCTTCATAATAGACAAATATTTGCGGAGCTGAAAATCCTCCCACTTTTTNGTTGAGAGATGGCCAACTTTTTAGAAAATTGCATTCCAGCTTTCCTACTGATTATCGAGATAAGTCCTTTCAATTAAAGTCCACTAACATTAACACAAGGTAGTTTGATATATTGAACAAATCCTTATTAACAGATATGTTGATTAATTGCACATATTTCCTGTGGAAACGGCTACAAACAGCTTGTTTTTTAAAGGCTTCATAATTTATTTGAAACCAGAACGGTTCTTATTTTCCAGCTCTATTTTTTGCTACAAAAGTTTCTTTGAACTTTAGGAATACAAATACAAATCCAAATAAAATCCATCTAATCAGCATAAAGTTGTAGTTTTCAGATCGCACTGTATTTTTTTTACTTTTCTCGTACTTTTATAAAAAGTGGAGTCCTGTAGCTCAGTGGTTAGAGCACTCGCCTCGCAAGCGAGAGGACCTGGGTTCGATTCCCGGGCAGAGCGAAACGTTGGGCAACTTTCCTTACTTCACACGCCTCTGTTTACCTCCATCCGCCTCGTCCCTTCCTTCCTCAGCTTCAGGTCGCACCTGACGACCTTCCTCTTCGATCGTAACTACAGTCACCTCCCACCTCCCCCGACTTGGTGTTGTGCTCCACCACTGTCAAGCGCTCTGGGACGCCCTGCGTGAGAGGGCGCTGTGTAAATGCAAGTTGTTGTTGTGTTACATACTTGTCGAGTGATTACTGGACAATGAATAAACAGAGCATTTTCCAACTGCAGTTTATCCAATAAATTTGCTGTCATGAGGTTGCAGCTGAGAGTACAGTGGCTGTTTGTCAATGTAGTACTAATTTTATACCACTTCAAGTCACTATAGTCTACAGTACACATCACAGAGTAGTGTACTGGGACCATTGATAAACAAACATATTGTGGTTACAATGGCTTACTCTGAGAGTTAGCCACAATTGTGTATTTGTGAAATCTGCTCGCACTGTGATTATCATTGACTAATGGCTACTTTGCTCAATATATAATAATAATAATCCTTGCATTTGATGTAGATTCTTCGAGACATCTCAAAGCGCTTCACAGAATATACTGTGAAGTGAATTGACTGTATATTTTGCGGGCAAAACATCTGGTCAAGCTTGAGTCTCCCTCTCACATTCGGGATGCTTTAACAGGAGTGGGAAGAGGAAATTTTACAACTGGAATGATTTCTCAGCTGTGTGATATAAAGTGGGACCCTGCTACATGAATTTTTTCCTGAGTTTAGCCTACTTTACTGTCAGCAATAATCTTTACACTCTTCCTACATTTTGGAAGTGACGTCAATTTTTTTTCTCTCTCGGGGGATTATTCATAAATGTCAGACGTCATCACAAGTTTATATGTATTATAAAGAGGTCTATAATGTTATTGCCTATACATCAATGACTGTGCCAACAATTATTGCTAGCAATAGCATAATGATTTCACATCACTATATTTTTATCATTCTTTGCATAAATTGTTCATAATGGATGATTTTGCAGGATGCAAAATGCCATGTATTTAAGCATGTCAGAATGCCAGAGAAAAGTGAGTCATGTTGAAATGTAATGCTCTATATTCAAATATGTTTAATATTGACATTTAAATGTCTAATACATTTAAATACTCACATGGTCAAATATTGAATAGCTTTATATGTGCAGGATGTACACGTACAACCTCTCCACATGTTAGATTATCATAGATTGTTAGTCCTGAGTAAATACCACATTCTACTGCTTTCATACAGAAATCTTTTTGAATTTAATCAGCGTATCAAATGGATTGGTAATGTTCATGATCATTATTGTGTCACAAGGAATAGGGCATTGTGTCTCACGATGTTATGCAGAAGGATAATCTACCGGAGCCCCATCACATCAAGTCATGTGTAATGCCGAGACTCAGCTAGTTTATTGCTGGTGGATTCTTTGTTCAGTCGCCAAGATATTTATTGAACAGTTCAGATGTCCGTTTCACTCTGTTCCTCTCACAGCTCCAAACCGCTTAGCATTGACTTCATTCCATTCTTGACCTGCGTACCCTTCTGCCAACCCATTATAATTAAAACACGCTCATCCGCAAATAGTTTTACAACCTTTCCTTAACTTTTGTATCTTTTAGCTGCAAGGGACAGCTTCTCTGTCTGCTTTACACTGTGGTTATGCAGGAGGATTGGGACGTCCTCCCGACGTGAAAGGCGCTATACAAATGTAATCTTGTTGTTGTTGGTTATATATTTCCTGTGTTGAATTAGAGTTATTTAAAAAAAAGCTTGATTTTTTTGGCACCAACATGATACATACCATCCTGTTGTAAATTTTCATACTATCCATTAGACTGAACTGGGGGAGTTGAGGTACAGATCAACCCTGATCTTATAGAATAGTGGAACAGGCTTGAGGGGCAGAATGGCCTCCTCCTGTTCCCATGTTCCTATGACTGAGCTCAGCAGCACTTGTAATACTTTGGAAAGCACCACTTTATGGATGTCGATCAAACCAAAATATTGTACAGTACTCTGTTCCAGAACAGTGATAGCAATCGACTGGCAAAAAACACAACACAGTTGTTTTTTTGCAAGCAATACGTGTTGTGAAAATTCCTGCGATTGATCTGGTGATGTGTGTAAATCCACTCGAGTTTGATGCCTGCAGTGGTACCAAACAAACCTATCTGTTTTTTTAAACGCATCTGCACTCTTTTCTCAAACTTTGCAACCAATTTATTTCCGCGTATGAATTATTCAGTATGTCATCTGGCAACAGTTTGACGACTATTAATTGAAATGCATGAATCAAACATGATAAGCAGGCCTTCCTGCAACGTGCCTTGATGTTTCGTTGGATATATAGTGAGACTGATTTGTGGAGTGAATGGTTTGTGTGCTTTTTCTGCTAAATTTGCATTCCTTCCTTCTTTGTTTTTTTTCCTTCAATTGTCAACTTTGAACCCCATTTCCTCACTCACTCGTTTATTACCTAATCTTTGTAAAACAGACTGAGCGAGTTTAAATGCCTTGAAAATTAAAATTTTCCAAAAAATATTTCACATCAAATAGCCATTTCCTGTTCTGCTAAATTAAATTACATTACCCAATGCAAAAAGAAAAACTTTCAGCATATTAAAATGCATATGATACTCCGTGAACTCGCATCTGTAAAACATCTGGGCAACATCCTGGGGAAATCTACATGTACAATAATTTTTTTGGAAAAAGATTGTTTTTCTAACATCAAATCGATTCCTCCCCGGATGTCAGCTTCATTAACCATCCACCCAGCAGTATTTATTAGCTTCAGTCATTTCATGTGTATTAGACTATTGTGTATTGTTCTACCATCTTATAAACCTTCTCGTTGTATTTTACTGTTACCACCCCATCCCACCCCCCACCACCGCCCAGACTCATCTCCCAATGGAAAATATTGTTTACCTACTCCCCAATCTCCCCCCAAGTAATCATGGAAAAGCTATACGTGAATCTGCACATCACCTTACCTTTAAAGTGAAAAGAAGAGGAGGTGGATATAAACAAATTATCTGATGACAACAACAACTTGCATGTATACAGCACCTTTTGGTTGAGAAGTCTCGTAACCCTTGACTTTACCCTGTTAGAGCAGAACCGGAGGGCGTAGGAATAAATTACAGAACGTTCAAGTTTATTGAATGAAAATCACCCTCTATACATGGAGTACCATTCCCTCTCTGGTATAGAGCGATCAATAGGAGATGAACAACAAATATTTACCATGTGAATTATTCAAGCAAATGAAAATTAATTATGTATTCTACATCAAATTCAATTCAAAGTATTTTTCAATTCAGTTCAATGTTCTTTTTATACCATCTTCAATTTCTTTTTTTTTAAATGTGTTTTACATTAATTTGTTTTTCAAGGTATTCTGCTCTTTTAAGTATTTTTAATTTTTTTAAGTAAAACTCCCAATAATAAGTCAAAATAATTCACCAACATCGCGCTATAACATTATCTACAAATTGTCCGCTGATATAGTATTGTGGGATAATTATGTTAAATTGGTGTATATTTGTACAAGACATAGTGGTACATCTCACAACAAGTGGAGTCCTGTAGCTCAGTGGTTAGAGCACTCGCTTTGCAAGTGAGAGACCTGAGTTCAATCCCCGGGGGGTCAGGGCGAAACCTTGGGGAAGTTTCCTTACTCCACACAGAGCCTAATAATAATCCCTCCAATAGAAAACAATAATAAATTGGTCATTTTCAATCCACGACTGTTTGTGGCACAATTGTTTGCCGCGTTTCACCCACAAATATACAGTCAATTCACTTTACAGTATATTCTGTGAAGCATTTTGAGATGTCTCGAAGATGTGATAAGGCACTGTATCAAATGGAAGGATTATTATTATTATTAACAAGAAGATTCTAAGAACAATTTTAAAAAATCTCCTTACATCATATGAATAATAATAATTCTGGCATTTGCTATAACGCCTTATCACGTCTTTGAGACGACTCAAAGCGCTTCACAGAATATATTGCAAAGTGAATTGACTGTATACTTTGAACTCCATGTTTAGAGATGCCATTTGAAATCCTGAAATCATTTTGTAAAACTATTTGGGTTCTGCCCCTTCCAGCATGTCTAAGCTGATTTGATTTATTCTGACATTACAGATGACTCTACCTGTGTTGTGGGTTTGCTTGCTCAGCACTGTTGAAGTGGTAGCTTTTAAGTTTAACCATTTTTTTCTCTTCCTCCATTTTCAGCAACCACAGTTTCGATCATTTTCTGCAAACAAGTCCCGATCCACATTAAGTCCAGGGTTTCCCTCCCAGTGGCCAAACACAGTACCGGGCTGGAGCAGCTATCACTTTCCCCGAAGGAGCAACATGCATTATCAAACTGCGGCTACTTATGCCTACAGAGCAGGCCAGACCGTGAGTGCACTTCAACATACTTACAGTATTCATCATCTTACTTAAAGATTGATGGTTTGTCAATTCTGTCATATGCTGTTGTACACTAATTCAGGCGCCCACTTAAACATCACGGTCATCAAGAGCTTGAATGAAACTAGATTCACTTTGCTTTGACCTACATTCATGAAATCGCAGTTTAATGTAACCCAATTAATTCATGTAATTGTTTTTGGTTTGGTTTCTTGCCTGCTAAAGGTTTGTGTTCTGGAGTGAGGAGAATGGTTTTGGTGGAGAGCTGTAGCTTAGTGGTTAGACCATGAGTTTGAAACAATCCTCAGGGTTTTGGTGTGTTGTGTTTACCTTGACTTATGATCACATTGGCTAAGAATGTTCTGATTACCTGGGTTCAGGAAGGCCTCTTGCTCTCTGTATCGCTCCTCTGTTACTCTGCTCCCTGTCAGTCAGTCGGGTGTTGAGTGATCTTTTAGGTATTTCTCCAGTTCTAGGTGACACCAGACATCATGAATTCCAACTGGCCTGTGCCCGATGTTTCAGCCACACCTTCTCTCCCCTCGACCACAATGGTGGGGTTGGGAGGAGGGGGGCGTCTGAAGTGGATCTGCTTTGTAAAACTCTTGAAAATTCATTGAAAACAAATGAAAGGTTTTAGGAAACATGAGGAATATTTACAGAACAAAAATCTCATTCAGGGGTTAAGAAACACAAAAGCATCTATTTTTATTGTTAATCTTTGTGGCCAAACTATTATTTTCCGTACAGCAGCATCTGTTTAGCCTGTGTTTGATTCCTGTGGAAGGTTGGCTTATTTCGCAGTTGGGTGGGTGTCACGTCAACAACAAGTAGAACATTCAGTCTGTGCCTTCACTGAAGTTTAATATCACACGATTAGAGGGATTTACTTGGTACAATGCGTTGCTGAGAATTAACACTTAGTAAAATATATAGAAAATGCACATCCCATTACTGATATTAGGTCTCCTTAATTCTGAAAAAATTAAACCAATAGGGATTCCTGATAAACTATTTCGATTCATTTTGTGTCATATGGTATTCATTGTTGAAATTGTCAGTGTTTTCTTTGCTGCGAGCAGATTTACACTGCCGTGGGTTTCCATGTTATAGTTTCCATGTTTTACATCTTTCCAGACCAATTATTGTACAAATAAAGAAAAATGGTTTGGGATTTGAGTCACAATATTAATTTGCAGTGGTGAAACATGAGTTACACTAAACAATAAACTCTCTCTCTCTCTATGTATATATATATATTAATATATTAATATTTTCAGGCATTTTTCCCTTTTCTCTTCTGTCCTAAGGACATTTGACTTGTTTTTCCTTCCACAGAGGTATGCAGTCTAAAAGCGCAAGCCTTCAAATACAGTCACTACACTTTACAGTAAAATCCTTGCGTTTCATATTTCACATTGGCAGGACATCTAAAAGCGCTTTACAGGATTCACTCCAGTGTGTAGGACTGTATTTTGAAGGTGAACACAGCAACCAATTTACACACAGCAATGTTCCAGTTTACCAAATAAACTAGTATTACACTTTCAGAGTGCTTTGAGATGTTTTGATGGCATAATAAAGGTGCTATATTAAATGGTATTATACTTAGACCTTAGATTATTCAATTTATTAAAAGTAATAATAATCCTTGCATTTGATATAGCGCTTTTCACATCTTATCGACGTTTCAAAGCGCTTCACAGAATAGATTAAATTGAATTGACCGTATATTTGTGGGTGAAACGCGGCAGCCAATAGTGCACAGCAGTGTCCCACAAACAGTCGTGGGTTGAAAATGACCAATTTATTATTGTTTTGTTTTTTGGAGGGATTGCCATTAAGCGTGTGGAGTAAGGAAACTTGTCCAAGGTTTCGCCCTGCCAATAATCATTGCATTTAATATAGCGCCTTATCACATCATTATTATTAAAAGTAAGAATGAACCCATCGCTGCCCTCTTTGTCTTCCCATCAATGTTCCTCCACCTTCATAATCACCCAGTATTTTAATTCACTGGTGTCTCTTTTTCTAGATGTGACCAGGATAACCATACCCCACCCCCTGCCCCCCACAGAATGTGAAACGCTTCTCAATGTTCTGTTAAATGTTTGTGATAAACCCAGTGCAGAGGGGAGTCTGGATGGAAAGACAGGTCTTTGCTTGTGTTGCTGGTTTGGTTACATGTTCTCCAGCATCACAATTGTTTATTCTGCCATTATCCATCTGTCAGGCTACCACAGGCTTCTGTCTCCCGGCTTCATTCTGTACTCCCAGCATAATAGTCTCTAGCACACAATTTAATGGAGTCCGGTAGCGTATTGCTTAGAGCACTCGCCTCGCAAGCCAGAGGACTTGGGTTTGATTCCCGGGCAGATCGAAACGCTGGGCAAGTTTCCTTACTCCACACACCTCTGTTTATCTAACAGTAAGTAGGAACCCGGTTGTTAGTCAATTGGCAGATCACATTTCCAGAGGAAATAATCTCTTAAAATTTTTTTTTAAAAAAAGATGTGATCACTCAATTCATTCTAAATAAATAAATAAATAACAATAATAATTTGGTCACTCAATCCATGACTGTGTGAGGGACGCTACGGTGTGCAATCGGCTGATGTGTTTCGCCCACAAAATATACAGTCAATTCACTATACAGTATATTCTGTGAAGCGCTTTGCGTGATAAGGCGCTGTATCAAATACAAGAATGTTGTTGAGAAATCCCAAAGTGCTTCACAGAAGATATTGTCAAGTGTAGTGACTGTGTATTTTGCGGGCGAAAAGCTATTAAAACAATCTGTACTGTCTGTCCCATCTTCCAAGTTTCGGTCGATGTACCTTTGCTCTACATTAACATTGCCTGGTTGAACATATTAGGTTCTGAGTTTTTATATATACCTTTTAGGATCTTGAAGGTTTCCCCTGAACCTTCTCATTGTCAGTGTGAATATTTCCAGTTTCCGTAGTTTCTCATAACTCAGGGACCTAATTACAGCAATCAATCAATTCTGTGGCCCTTTGCTGCACCTCCTCCAATGTTTGTTCTGTAATATTGTGTGCAGGGTTGCGCTCACTACTCCAGGTGGGATCGGACAAGTGCCATGTACAAGTTCAGAATCATTTCCTGTGAATTATGTTCTACCCCTCGAGCTGTACACCCCAAGTTCCTGTTTGCTTTCTTTACTGCCATCGCACATTCTGCTGAGTGTTTCAGGAATCTATCCACTAGTGCTCCCAATCCTCTCGTGTAACCTGCAGACGAATGTAATTTAGTTTAGCTTCCCACTGTTTATTCTCTTTCCTTAACACCCTCCCAAAGTCCCTTCGCCTCGCTACCTCCCTCGCCTCCTTCAAGGAACGTCTCAAGATCCTCCTCTTCGACTGTGTCTTCGGCCACCCTCCTACCCCCACTCTCCCCGCCCTCCACCCTTCCTGATTGTGATCTTGTAATGTTAATTATATATATATATATTAAAATGAAAGTGTATTTATTGTCAGGATTTCTTGCAGTGAATGTTCTTGTTTTGACGTCACTGTGTTAATAAATGTTCTCTGGGATGTAATAACTAAGTAATGGAGAAACGTTACATTGGAATATCGTGAAGATTGTGACATTACAGATGAACGTCGCGCCCGTTTGTCAAATCGTTAGAATATGTTTTGAAAATCCTAATTCGCTGGATATTTACTTGGTTAGAAATAATTTGCAAAAGTTATAAGATTTCCAGAAAGTGTCTACAAAGAATAAAACTGGTGACAAAGTGCTGTTTCACATTAGTTTCTATCAGATCACATCTTGTGTGGCACTTTGCTAAGGTAGCATGAGGGATTGCATTAAATAACTTGTTATAGTGCTATATGATACACGGCTGTGGGAAGCCCTGATGTGTGTATCAGCACATAAGGAAACTATTAGGTCTCGGCAGTAAACAATTCTAAATGTCTCTTTCCCAAGTGCCACGATTCTTAAATGTTCCACAATATCGGGAATGTTTTCTTCATTCTTTAACTTGCTTGTTTGCTTTTTTTTGCTATCTGGAATGTGAAATAGTTGTGTTTCGCATAGTTTCACCAGGTTTAGCAAGTCTAATGATTGTCGGGAGGTCTATTGGCAGCAATCATAGTGAACCTACACCCACTCAATGTTTCTTTCTTAATAATTGAGTGTTGAATTGCATTGTGACAACTGAATTAGCACAAAAAATTGTGAATGAAGTACGTTACCTTAGACATAGTGTTCAGAACTGCTCACAGTACAGTGTTCTAAATGGGGTCTTAACAATGAATTATGAGAGTTAAAATAACCTGTAAACATCCTCAAATTGTAACTCAACTTAGTTCATTTACTAATTGATCCAGATTGCGCATTCATTTGCATGTTAATGTGTAGGTGAATATGGAATAAATCCTTGTTAGGAGTAACTAATAATAATAATAATCCTTACATTTGGTATTGATCCTTTCATGTCAGGAGGACATCCAACAGTGCTTCACAAGATATTCTGTAAAGTGTAGTGACTGGGTGTTCTGTGGGCGAAAGTACACACAGCGGTATCCCAAAAAACAGCCGTAAAGTGGACAACCTATTTTATTTGGGGGATTGTTGGCCAGGACATCGGGAGAGAGAGAGAAACTCCCCTCTCTTTTCGAATAGAGCCACGGGATCTTTAACGTACACTTTAAGAAGCAGACCAGTGCCTCGGTTTTAATGTCTCATCTGAAGGACGGCACCTCTGACAATGCAGGTCCCCCCACACCGTACTGAAGTGTCAGTTTAGTTCCAAATCCTGACGTGGGGCTTGAACCCACAACTTCTGACTCAGAAACGAGAGTGTTATTGACGGAGCCAGCTTGAAACACACTTTCTCACTTTCAGGGGTGATTATAATTCAGCTGGTCTATTTACAGTAAATCTATAAAGGCAGCGTAAATAATTTTTTACTTAAAGAATTTAGTGAGATCCATTTGCAGTTGTGTGGTAACTGTTCA